TGTGCTTCAAAAATAAGATCAAAACAATTTTTGTTTTCTCCTGCTTATCTTGTCACTGCTTTCCTCACTGGTATTAATCACAATAATTTTTTTTCTTTCGTCGTTCCTTTTTTTTTTTTTTTTTTCTTGAGACAGAGTCTTCCTTTGTCATCCTTGGTAGAGTGCAATGACCTCATGGTAGCTCACTGCAACCTCGAACTCCTGGCTCAAGGATGGGTAGCATTTTACCAGATAGAGATAAAAAGGTAGGGTAGCTAAGAATCACAGGCAGAGAAAAGCATTCACCAAGACAGTGAAATGAGGGACAGCACAATGTATTTGGGGGAGGGGTAAGCCAAAACTAAACAGGAACCTTAAGGTCAAACCACAGAAAACATCAAAAGCCACCGGCTCAGGAATTTGATCTTGATTCAACAGGTAAGGAGTAACCCATTGAGTTATTATGACCACATTTTCTATTCCTCTTTTCCGCTACTCAGGCTGATGCAACATGGTGGAGTTCCTCATTAGAAATCATGTTACAACTTGAAAAATTCAGTGCTCAACTGTTAACCCTCAGTGAGAAATTGGGAGAGTATTTTCTAGAGTCCTAACACTTTCCACTGACTCTGGTTATACAGAAGCACGAATAAGCAAGCAAGGCCTTTGTTTTAATTTACTGATATTTTAAACGGTTTTATAGAGGCATAATTGATATAATAAAATGCATATTCTGAAAATACACAATTTGAAAAGTTTTAGCATTTGTGTAACCTGTGAAACCATCAAAATAATTCACCGCCTCCAGAAGTTTCCTCACACCCCTTTAAATCCTTCCTCCCACCTCTCCCAACCCAAGCAATCACTGATCTACTTTTTGTCTTTGTATATATTAGTACGTATGTTCTGAATATTTGCCAAACAGAACCACAGGGCATATATCCTTTTTGTCTGGTTTCTTTACTTTAGCATACAGTGAAATTTATTTTGAGATTCATCCACGTTGTTCAATGTATCAACAATCTATTCCTTTTTATTAATGAGTAGTATTGGTGTATGGATACACCACAGTTTTATTCATTCATATGCTTATGGA